CCTCCCTCCCCGCTCTCCTCCTCTCCCAACAATGCCACACCACTGCTGAATAGCTGAATGCAGTTTGTTCATGTGCTGCTTGCAGGATGTATTCACTGTATTGCCATTGCCAAGAATAAAGTTCCCTTGGAAGAATATTGGGATACTTGCTGCTGTGTGGATCATGTTTCTGACCATTCAGGTCCTAAAGGTGAGAGGTGTTTTTCTTTCGCCCACTTTCGTTTAACCCCCTCTTCTTTCAACTTGCTCCCTTATGCACCTCCCACTCCCCCTGCTTCTGGTTTTCAATTTAGAAAGTTTGAAATGCTCAGGGGCCATGTCCCACTTGCGGGGGTATAGTTCTGGTTTATAGACCTGTGTGGCAGCATGAGGCAGTTATGTGGGTACGAAAAAGAAGGGGGATGCAAGGAGGTAATCATGAAAAACAACGTCCAAACCACATCTGGCCTGCGCTTTTGGGCTGCACTGTCACCTGACATGCGCCCTGCACTTATGGGCAGCCCACCATTCCGCCTCTGACAACCCAAAGACTGCCTGCATCATTTTGCTTTTCGCAAAATGCCTACCATCCAGCGCAACGTCTCCATGTCCACGCTGTGTTTTCGTTTCTTGCATACCCCACACTATGTAAGAAACAAAAACCAGCCTACGGCCGCACAAAGATAATTCCAGAAAGTGCCCACCAATGGAGCGATGGCGTTTTGTTCAGTCCATGCTTCGTATTACCTTAAGAAATCTTGCTGATTTTTGTCATCCTCCGACCAAAACAGAATCAATGGCTCTATCAACTGCCTTACAGTGCGGGGTGGCCTAACCCTAGTCTGATACTCCTGCAAGCGGGACATGGCCCCAGGTTTCCAGCATTGTTCTCGTTTCCTGTTTATCTTTCGGGTGCAGGTGGGGAGGGGGGGAGGTGTTGTCCTCTCATGTTGGACCCACCGCCCCATAGTCAAGGGTATTATTTCTGTTTTACTCATCTTTGCTGTTGCGCACCGTTATGGACGATTGGATTCATATGAATAGATATTTCAGCAACAAATGATATTCTCCCCCTCCTCTGAGAGTCCTGGTCTTGGGTGATCCCCGAGTGAGTGGGTGGGTCCACTGTGCCGACAGGTGGGCTGAACCTGGCACGTGAAGCCCCCTGTGGGACCTCCTCCCTGGGCCATATCCCCGACACCCTGCAACCCTTATAAAAGATATTTAGTTGCTATGTTGGGTAATGGGAGAGAAGACGTACGAAGGTTTTGACTTCTCTCTTCTGCCAGCTTTTGCCAAATATGAAGTGGGTGTAGCCTTGGGAGGGAGTGTCGATTTCTTTGGTAAAGAAGATTGTCGCCCATGCAGGGTTGCATACCTGCTGACCGCCGACCGTATTGCAGCCGACCAGTAGGGCCGACTGGTCGGCGGTCTGCCGACCAGTCAGAAAACAACCATCCACTGACTTCCCTTTAAATCTGAGTTGGGGGCTGTACTGCGCTTGCTGAGTACAGCACACATCTGCTGAGAAACTTTCGGGGATGGGGGTTTTGGGAGGGTGTTCGAGGGGGCTGAAGGGGGGGTATACGGGGGTATTGGGGGTGGTAATGAGGATGTTGGAGGCAGTTTGGGGGTGTTGGGGGCGGTTTGGGGGTGTCGGTGGGGTTATTAGGGATTCTGGACCCTTTTTTTTTTTTTTTTGTGCAGGGTGCCGATGAACCCCAACTGGTAGGTGCCGACCGGCCGACCAGTCAAGGGACGCCGATTGTCGGGGTATGCAACACTACGCCCAATGGCATGGCTAAATCTGCCACAGGAGCTTTGTACTTTACCTTTGGCACAAGCCCATGGCTCAGCTTATGAATTTCAGATTGAGGCCAGTTGGCTCCTATGTTTTCTGTTCGTGAAGCTTCGTGATTTACCATCGGAAATAAAAGATACATTGTTTTTATCTGGTTCAAAGTTCAAACGAAAGAAAAAAAAGAACTTTTTCATTCTCTTTTGAAGTTTTATGCCAAAAGTTTCGTTTATTATCATTACCAACAGCACTGCTGGAGGAAGCGACCCTGGACGCACACCAGCAATGGGATGAGCCTCCATTCATCAAGAGCCTCCAACTGGGGCCATAGACTCATAGAGCCAATGCTGTCACCTGTCCAAATTGAGAAGCTATGTCTGCAGAAAGCCCCGCAATATCTCAAATGGCAGAGCACACGAACCTTACAGACAATCGGCACAGGCCAGAGGATATGATACGATGGGATGGGCAATCCCATATCTCAAAGGGCAAAGCACACAAACCTTACAGACTATCGGTACAGGCCAGAGGATGTGGTACGATGGGATGGGCAATCCCGACAGCCAGATGAGGGATCAAATGACCCTAGGCCATGGCGACCCAGGGCACGCCCGAGAGATGGTTAACGGGGGGCCAAATATTCGTCATTATGCAAAATTCGGCGTAGATAACACCCCTGGTTAACCACATGTGAACATCCGAGATCAATTCCACAAGACGGAAAACGTGGTTCGGAATGATCAGAAAGGTAACACTGTGGTCCATCTGGAAGGGGAAAGGTGCTGCAGAAGCATTGAGGGACTCTCAACTCCAAGGGAGAAGGTATGGGCGGAGACAAGGACCTTGATTCAGGCAGAGATTCTTTGTAAGTGGCATAATACGGGACACTCCATGCCAGATGACAAAGAGCAACAGAGAAGAATCAAGGCAAAATGGACTAAGGTGTGGCTCGCAGGGGGCAAAGTCGCAGAGAGAAATGACTTCCGCATACGGTGGAAAGACTGGCACAACTCAGAAGCAGGGTGGAGAAGGCAGGAATCCCAGCCAGCAGATGGACAAAATCCATCACACGTCACGTAACGTAATATTGAAGGGCACATTCTGAGATTGAATCTTCCGTAGCTTCTTTTACCTTTCTTGCTCTTTATCATTTATCTGACAGGTTCACGCAGTGGACTTGAGAGGAAAGGTGGAAGTAAAGCCAAGCTGACAGTCAATCCTCCACGATGCTGGAGTAATCAATGCTGGTCAGGGTTCCTTCGGCCAGACGGAAGGAAGCGTGAGTGTGTCTCATGATGTATTATTTTATTCTGACTTGCCGGTGGAATAGGAACCGGACTGATGCTCCCCAGAATGGAAATGGAGCCAGGGCCATAAGGACCTGTGTTACGTTATTCGGAAAAAAAAAAAAAAAAGGGGAGTAAGGTTGGGAAAAAAAAAAAAAAAAAAAAAAAAAAAGACTTAATTCTGTTTTCCATGTTTACTCATGTCTAAAGGGTGAGAGACTTGATGTTTAAGAAACAAAAGGAAGGAAAAAAAAGGGTGCGAGACTTGATGTACAGCCATGGGCACTGGGCCTGATTATAATGAAGTTCCAAGGCATTACAAAAAAAAGGAAAAGGGAACGTTAAGAGATGTAAAATATTTTATAAGTTATAACATTATTAATTTTAATAATTTATTATACATAATACACCCATTAATACCATTATGAATTTATCATACATATATATTTTTTTCATGAACAAGAAAATACTCAATGCGTATCATTGGATCCATTGCTCATCAATGACATCGAGTTTCCT